GCAACATGTTGCCACAATTAGAAAGATGGTGTATATTTGGCAACAAAATGCCTCTCTCATTCTTGTCTTTTTAGTGTATAATTTCGTGATTACAGGCTTCATAAACTGCCATCCACAGAAAATTAAAACCACAAAATATAAACCAGTTTTTCTTCACTCAACACACAATATAATGTAACTAACTTTTCTCCAGGCTGTAGGGATTCTTGCATCATACATATTGTCAAGAGTATTACGAAGAGTCTAAAATCATATTCAAATAATAATTGTATATAGATGATATCACAACTCTTACTTCACTCATAACAATAGTGCCATCTATTGCCAGCTGTAGATCTTGTAAAGTGTTCCTCACTATTGTAATGACCCTTTGCATTCGGCCAATCTCTTGTCTTAGGAAGATATTCATTGGAGCAATGGCACTCATCTTCTGTAGTCTTGCATGTACCTGAATAAAAAATATATCAATTATAATTGGAGAAAACATAAATAGGATAGACATCATATACAAGCTATAGATCCTGTACAAACTGTAATACAAAAGCTTGTCATAGAAATTATTGACAAAATTGAAGACCCTGTTATGGTACATGGTCCACTTTTTGAGCATAAAATTAATAAATATTATCACAAACTTTCACGTACATGTACATGTAGGGCAACATGAAAATAAATTATGTCACAAAATTGAATGAAATCTCCTATTGTTAAGGTGCATGTGATGGACTACTCCTTCAAACGTACAGGGTCATTGGCCAAAGTTAACTAGAAAAAATTCTCTATTACAGTACAAGTGAATATTCAAATAAAGTACACTAAAAGCACATCTTGAGTACACATAATTCTTGAGTACAAATAATAGTAATAATTATTATTTATGAGGAATGTACTGCTTACAATAATAGCAAAAATTATATACATGTAAAAGTACTTACCGGATTACATTTGTACAATGGTTCACAGTATTTCTCTAACGTGTAAATAAACTTGACATTGTCTTTTGCCTCATTAGTGAAATCAGTTATCTGCAACTCAAGCTCCTTCCAAGTCTACAAAGAAAAACAATTTTAATGTATTTCAGATTAATTACAGTATGACTATTTGTTTTGAATATTTTAAAGATCAACATCACATACACATAAGTACATTCTAAGACAGCTACCAATACATGTATATACACTTCACCCTACAGCTGTACATGTACATGTACATGTAATGTAAGAGTACATTTAGAAAGTGTGAAACAGCTCAACATACATTTGTAGTTCAAGATTATCACTACTTCTACATGCTTTCATTAGCTCCATATATGGTAAGAAACTAAACCTATACTCTCTCATGCTGTATACTGGGCGTGTAGTCACTAGTTAATTTTAATATCAAAATGGATGCCAATTCTTACCCAGTGGATACACTAGTCTCATCACTATCATGACAATAAATAAACATACATGTACTTGTGATAAAGTCTAACAATGGTGTCAGTGTATCAGCAATGTAAGGATTCTAGTCTAAAGGTCATATCTTGCTTTTAAAGTACACCCTTTACTTTATTAAAGCATTTCTATTATTTCTAAGTCACTCCATCATGTGATGGTTCACTGGAGCCTCTGGGTCTTTCTCTACCGCCTCAAGTTGGTGTACCTCTCATATCAACACTTGCAGCTCCTGTATAAAACCATAGACTAGAGACTACTATTATCTATGATAAAACCACTCTCACCAGCCATGCTTACACACGTGACAAAAAGGTGTGGTTGGGCTATTAACTGACACGCTCCCTTTAATGACTGAGGATTCAGCAGACTGGCTGAGACTGCAGGCTCCTTGCTTCTGATGGTAGATCTAGTGCCATATAGGAGTGAATGGGTTCTATTTGAATCATTTGCTTCAAATTGTAGGACAGACCTCAATAAAGATGGCCAGTCTGATTGCATCTTTGCCGGTAGAGGAGGTAGCCTTGCAGCATTTGATCTGTTGCACAAGGAGTTAATGTGGCTTGTTGATCCAGCCATTACTGTCCCTCCATATAACTACTATTATCCATTGGCTACTAAGGATTTTGATAAAGATGGCGTCCCTGATATTATAGTGACTCATGGAGGAGATCCACTTTACTCTGACACTGAAAAGAAGTGCACTCCTGGTTTCCTAGCTGTTATTTCAGGAGCAACAGGACAGAGTCTCCCCATAGGATAATAATTCCTGATAATCGTGAGACATATAGCTCACCTGTACTGTATAGACCCAGTGATAATATTGAACTGGTTCTGTTTGGGTCTAGAGGTGAAACTATATACCAGGATCACTGTGGGCTCTGACACTGAGTAGCTGAATCATGTGGCAAGTTACAAGAAGGAAACCTCTTTCACTGTTAATAAAATATACAAGAACTTTGTGT